GGGGAAGGGGAGGGGAGGGGAGGGGAGGGGAAGGTCAAGTCACCATGAGGCTGGAGATAGCACAGTAGTTGAAAGTACTGGCTGTTCTTCCAAAGGAGCGGAATTAGTACCCAGAACACATGTACATCACATGGCTCACAATTACCTCTAACTAGCTCCAGGAGATGTGATACCCTCTTCTGGTCTCCTTAGGTACCCACAAGCACATCTGCTTACTCATACACACTTAAGTAACAATGTTTTAAAAATAAATAAAATCTTGGGAGTTGGGAGAGATGGCTCTGAAGATCCCAGCACCCACATTGTACCCTCATCTAACCTATGAGAGTACTACACATACATGGTGTAGAGATAGAACAGGCAAGCAAGATACTCATGCACATTAAGTATATCTTTTATGTTAATAATAAAAAAAAATCTTTTTAAAAAGGAAGAGCTCACCGGGCGGTGATGGCCTTTAATCCCAGCACTTGGGAGGCAGAGGCAGGTGGATTTCTGAGTTCAAGGCCAGCCTGGTCTACAGAGTGAGTTCCAGGACAGCCAGGGCTATACAGAGAAACCCTGTCTCAAAAAACAAAACAAAACAAAAAAAAACAAACAAAAAAAAAAAAAGAAAGAAAGAGCTCACTGAAATGTGAAAGTGCTTATGTGTGAAATAATTACAATATTTGGCACTTTTTTTTAAAGATTTATTTATTTATTATATATGAATACACTGTAGCTATCTTCAGACACACCAGAAGAGGGCATCAGATCTCATTACAGATGGCTGTGAGCCACCATGTGGTTGCTGGGATTTGAACTCAGGACCTCTGGAAGTACAGTCAGTGCTCTTAACCACTGAGTCATCTCTCCAGCCCGGCACTTATTTTTAATAACCCATTTATTTTAAAGTAATGTTTAGGAAACAGAAGGTAAAAAGAAGACACTGAAAACTGTTAGAGCCTGGTGACGGGTATAGAAAGACTCAGCATTTTATTGTCTCTGCTTTTATACATTATTTACGATGCATTTCTCATAGGCCAAGATTGCTCCATAGGTAAAGGCACCTGCCACAAGGCCAGACTACTTGAATTAAAATTTCATGTGGTGAAGAGAACTAAATACAATTGTTCTCTGACCTCCATGGCAATGCATGTATATGTGTACGTGAATATACACAAATAAATGTAAAATTTCTAAATTTAAAATTAAAGTTAACAATGGGCAATATAAATGTTAATACTGTTTAAAAACATTAAGCAAATTCATGATGTATTTAGTCAAAAATCTAATACATATAGCTTTTAATTAAATATTATCTGTAAAAGGGTGATCTTTTGAAGACGTCTTCTCAACTCAAGTTAAAGATTAACATATAGGCACAAGCATGTAATACATATATTAAATGGTTTTATTTCTATAAACTCATTAAAAATATCTCCTTAAAGTTGGACAGTGATCAGGTGGCGGTAGCGGCAGCAGTAGCGGCAGCAGTAGCAGTAGCAGCAGCAGCAGCAGCAGCAGCAGCAGCAGCACATGCCTTTAACACCAGCATTTGGGAGGCAGAGACAGAACTCTCTGTGAGCCCCAAGGCTGCCTGGTCTACAGCATGAATTCTAAAACAGCCAGAGCTACACAGAGAAACCTGTTCCAAAAACAAAATAAAACAAACAAAAAAAGCCTACTACCTTCTTAAATAATTACCGTATTTTTCCTATTTTCATCAACAACAACAACAAAAATGCTAGTCTTGAAAAACAAAAATAGAAAACTTCTAAAAATGTCTCTTCTATTTGGATTGTACTTTTAAAAAAGTATTTTCACACTAATACACACATGCACTCACTCTCTTTCTCTCTATATATATATATATGTACACACACATATATATGTGCAAATATAACCAGTAAATATTTGAGAATATTTTATATGTTCTAAATCATACTGTTAAAACAATATAGCTGATGCTAAAGTTTAAAAAAAAAAACTTTTAGGGGACTAGAGAGATGGCTCAGCAGTTAAAAGCATTGGCTACTCTTCTAGGGGACTTAAGCGTGACAGCTCATAATCATCTATAACTCCAGTTTCTGGGTATTCAACACAGATCTTTCTGAGCTCTGTGAGCACAAAGCACACACATGCTACACAGACATACAGGCAAGCTAAACATTCATACACATAAAAATAAACCTCAAAAACAACAAAAAACAAGACCCTTAACATTTATAAAATGCCTTCTTAAATGAGTAACACATTTTCAGTATCTTTCTACTTCCTGACAGTCTCTGATTATGATACCCCTCACCAAGGCTCAGTGATACAACACCTGCCCCATTTTTTGAAGCCCCAGGTTAAATCCCCAGTACTGCTAGGAAGGCATTGTGGCACACCCCTAAATCTCTGCACTCAAAGAAGAGGCAGGCAGATCTAAGTTCCAGAGCAGTAAAGTATACATAGGGAGTTCCAGGCCAGAGCTATATAGTTAAGACTCTGTCTCAAAAACCAAAAAGAAGTAAATAAATAAATCCCTAGTACTGCTCAATAATATAATAAATAAATAAATAAAGCCAAACACTGTAACTAAGCATTTTAATACACATTAGCTAATTAAGGAGATACCTACTTTTGTAGAAAGAATAATAAAGTTTAGAATAGTAAAATCACTTGCCCCAGGTCACAGCGCTGAAGAAGTTGCTAAACTGGTATTCAAACCTAAGCTGAATTACAACACTCACTTCCTCCACTGTATCTACAGGTCTACCTACCTACCTCTAAGGGAGAAAAAAGCTATACTGAAGTCCTATGAAAATATTTAAAGCCTTTTTCAAAGAGATCATAAAGTACTTGTTATGTTACTGGGTACATATATTTCACAGTAGCCCTTGGCTTTGCTTAAGGAGCGCTGACTAAAACACAGAAAGCATTGTTCCTGCTGATGCTGAACTTTCCCCCCACGCCGCTTACTTTCAGCTTGCTTCTCAGCTCTATACAGTGGAGGAATTAAATTAATATCCTTGGTATCTAATACCAAGACCCTAAAATTCAAAGATGGTAAGTGTATAAAAAATAAATCTATTAAAACAAAGTAGCCGGGCAGTGGCGGCGCATGCCTTTAATCCCAGCACTTGGGAGGCAGAGGCAGGCGGATTTCTGAGTTCGAGGACAGCCTGGTCTACAGAGTGAGTTCCAGGACAGCCAGGGCTACACAGAGAAACCCTGTCTCGAAAAAACAAAAACCAAAAAAACAAAAAACAAACAAACAAACAAACAAAAAAAAACAATGTGGAGTAAAAATTATTTACTACAACAAAGAAAACATTTTTTAAAGTAATTGTCACCTGCTTAAGGTACATATCCTATTAACTTCCTCAGAACTTTCTTGGGGCTTTTTTTTTTCTAAGCATTATTCCTATTACGTAGTTTTTCTTATCCTTACATATAACGAAATAGAAATAACATCAGTACTTGGTAAATAAGTTATATATAATTTTGAAATTTACAACATCCAAGAGTTTTCTGTTTGGAATTTTCAAACTAAGTATGTGTTTGGTGTCACTGCTGTATTTATTAACTTATCATCTTTATATTTGAATCTTGTCAAATTTAGTTTATGTTTAGAAACAATTTAACTGAAATACTAAAGTAGAACACCCAACACATAATTTTAAATGATCCTAAGGGATTGTCCCAAGGCCTCTCAAATCAGATACAATGGCCTACAAGCAATTCGTACACAGCAATGAAATCCACTGAAACATTTAGCTGCTCTAAAAGAAGGATCAGGCTCCTTAGCAAAAAAACTCCATTGTGTGAGTCTGCAAAGTTTCCCACTCTCCCCCTTTAACTCCATCTTAGAGAACGCCTTTGCACACTGACACAATATGCTGTAAATGGTACTTTGCTGACCTTCCAATAGTCCAGCTCTATGAAAATTCTGTGATGGGTGTAACTTCAGAGAATCTGAAAAACACAAAAAGCATTAAGTACTTTTTATGCTGAATGAGAAAAAAAATGCCAAGGATAGCATACATCTCTTACATAACTATTATGTATTTTTAAGAGCCTAAGCCCATATTAGTTTTGTCTGTTCCCTGCAAAAGGAAGGCTGGGTTGCTTCTACACTGGTCTCTAAAGCTAAACTTAGATTTTGATAAAGCATTTGTTTCATGGAAAATTATCTGATGATTACTGCCCAAATGGTATTACTGTCTTGACTATTTTTAGCACCCAATTGTGCATTAGCCCTATTCTAAGGATCATCTCTTAATATTTTCTCTTCCTTCTGAGACTTCAAACTACAATATTTCTAAGCTACTTCAATTACTATCTGAAAAACATTCTACAGGATAGTGACTGCCAACTAAATTCATCAAAGGAACAGACAAAGGCTTAACAGTTACTAAATAGGACTCTGTGCACAAATTCAATAGTCTAAACTCTAGCACCTTCCAGGGGAAGCCATATCCCTCTTATTCACTTAATACAAATATATTAATGCAAGGCTGAAGTCCTTCTCTACCCAAAAAAGGTGAAATTTTCTGGTTGGTTTGTAAAGCCAAAAATAAGAGAAATGCTGGATTTCTCAGGAAAAAGGTTCACCATGGTATATTTTTTTTAAAAGAACTGTCCTCTGCCTCCTTCCACTGGTATAAGAAATAGCGATGACCACAGATGGGGGTATTTTTGATTTGATACCCCTTGCAAAGAAAACCTGTTCGGACACATTCTTGTGGTGTCCAGTGTAGGAATTTAACCCCAGCAGAGATCACCTCAAGTATTAATGTTTTAGATACTGGGAATCCCCTGCAGGCCTTAGCCAAAATAGTTTTAAATGGGAATCTCTGTTCACTGCCTCCTCTCTGCACGAAGCCCTTGAACAGCAAAGAAGAGAATTTTTCTCAAAGGGCAGGACTGTGCCGGAGCCTGGTACTCCAGGGAGAGGAACACAAGTAATCCAGGGAGGGCATCCCTGGCTTTGTAAAAGAGAAGTAATTAGAATGTCACGGAGGTGGAAAGAGAGAAAGAAGATTGGGGCCTTTTCCAGGCAAGAAGATGACGAGGAAAGGAAGAACGCCTGGCCGAGGGGGGCCGTCCCGACATGGGGAGGGAGTGGACTAGGCCGGGGGGGGGGGGGGGTAGGACGGCCCCCCCCAAACAAGACCAGAGGGAGAAAAAAAAAAATGGTGACCCTGAGCTCGGAAGCCCCTTGGGGCCACGCAGCCGGGCGTGGGGCAACTTTGCCAAGGAGAAGAGTCCGGGGGACACGAGCCGCGACCCCCCGACCCCCCACACACACACCCCGCGGCGGCTCCAGCAGCGGGACCAGTGGGGTGATTCCCTTGCCGGGGGAGGACTGGGCCGGCAGTCCGCCGAGGGTGGTGGAGTTCCGACCCGCCGACCAGCAGGTTGCGAACCTCCGGGGCCGCAGAGGATTCGGGGGGCGCGCGGACCCTGAGCCCCCCGCCGCCCCGCGCTGCGCCGGGGAGGGGGCGCCGCTCCAAAGCTCCGGGATCACCCCTGGCCCTCCGCGGCCAGCCCAGGACTCTCGTGAGGGGCAACCCCGCCAGAACCCGGCCCCGACGGGGACCTCCCGGGACTCCGCGCGCTCGCGCTCCCCGCCCCCACGCCCCACCCCCCACCCGACTCACCTCGCGAGTACAGGGACTTGGGCGATTCCAGGTCTAGGTCCGCGCTGAGCAATGAGATGAAGTCCGAGGGCATCGCAGCTCGACCCAGCCCGGCCCGAGGGCAGCGGGAGGGGGGGAGCGGCGGTGGCGGCGGCACCTCCTCTCCGGGATCCGCGGGCACCGAACCGGGGGCGGCGAGACGAGGGCGGCAGCGGCTGCCTCCTCCTCCTCCTCCTCGAGGGCAGTCACTTCCCACCCGGCCGAGCGACGAGAAGGGCGGCGGAGTGGAGAACAACTCTGCGGAGTGGAGAACTGACTCCCGGTGAGTCCGGAGACAAGAAGGTTCGGACGGGGAAGGGGAGAGGGAGAGCCAACGGGTCCGTTTCGGGCTTCTCCTCAGCGCACACTGACGGCCGCCGCCACCGCCGCCGCCGCTGACAGGAATCTGAGCCCCGCCCCCTCGTGAGGCACTGCGCACGCGCGGAGGGGGGAGAACCAGGAGCCCGGAAGAGCCTGGCGGCCGACGGAGGGCGGACAGGCGCGCCACAGAACAGCATCAACAAGGGCTTCGCTTCCTGCCGTCGCTGCCGCGGCTGCTGCTGATCCCGGACTGGGAAAGGGCCCCGCCAGCAGGGAGGGAGGAGGGAGGCGGCCTGCCTTCTGGGGCCCTGAGAAGGGAAAAGATTTTTGCCACGACCTGGTGGCGGCGAGCCTGAGGCGGCCAGCCCTGCACCGTGGTGTACTTAGGAGGATACAGACCCTGGGGGACCTAGATGTCTGCAAAGAGGGGAAAAGACCTCCAGAGACTTGCAGCGATCGAGGCCCGCACGCTTGAGCTCGCACAGGGAAATGGAGTTCCACGGCGTGGACAGCAACCCAGCCCTTCGGGGGTTTTTCATAGCAGTTTCTGCAGTGAGCTGGCCAAGGGACTAACAGACTCACTTTTTAATTAACAAAGGACAAACCATACTCTTAACACCCCCCACCACGAGTTATTGAATTTTGTGTGTGGATTTTTTGGTCGTTGTTCTTGTTCGTGTTTTTGTTGATTTTTGTTGGCCCTCTCTTGCCTGGAGCTCACTATGTAGATCAGGTTGGCCTCAAACTCACAGAGTTGTGCTAGCCTCCGCCAGGCATTGGTTCTTTTTAATTAAAATATTTCCTCCAGGTTACTCACACCACATTCATGGCAACTGCATTTACCTATTTAGACACGTGATTTTGTTATGTAGGTCTAGTTGGCCTGCAATTCACCATATAGATTTAGACTGGCCTCAAATTTAGGGCAATTCTCCTGACTCAGCCTTCTGAATACTGAGATTACAGCAGAGTATCACCATGCCTGGCTTTGATTTTTTTTATTTTTATGTATAATGATGTTTCTGATAGTGAATGCCCAAATTTACTCCAGAGTGGAAAATAAAACACAATTTGGAAATTGGATTGTGTGATTCCACCTGACTGTGTGTATGTGTGTGTCTGAGAGAGAGAGAGAGAGAAACAGAGAGACAGAGAGAGAAGCAAACATACTCTTCCAAACAGGTTTTCACTTTTCACTGTGCTGAGGGAGAATGGAGGAAAAACATGTAAATGAGTTTTTTTGGCTACTCTGTTCATGGGGGCTAAAAGTTTCCGTTGCAAAAACAAATCCTCACCTACACCACAGACGGTTTCCTGACTCTAATAGACTTCTGGGAAATTTTTAATCGAGTTATTAAAATATCAATTGGAGCACAGGGTGCGCATCTTGGAAAATAATTTTTAACTTTATGTGGGATGTTTTGATGCCAGCAGCCACATGGGCAGTGTTTTTGAGGTATTCAAGATGGTTCGATTTGTGTTACTGTGTCTACAAAGCAGGTCACAAATCCTAAAACCCTGCTGATTTATATCTATAAATCTTTAACAAAGTTTTGCCTCTGAATTTGGGCACTTCATTGGAACTTGGAATACTGGTATTGAGGAAGAGTCTCTGAGCAAGGGAAGCCCCAGTGCAGGCATCTCTGGGGTGGGCCCTTTACAAAGCTTAACCTGCAGACCTAGAATCTACATTTGTGTCATCAGAAACCACCTATCCTGTCATCTGAACATCTGATACAAGTTGCCCAATTCTCTTCAGTGAATTCTTAATGATAATTAATGAACCCTGTGAACATTTTTATCTGTCAAAGGTAAGGAAGGTTTTTAGAGCCACCCCAAGACAGAGCAGAGTAAAACAGGAAACTACCCTCAAATTTCTATGGCCACTGTACTCTGTTGTAACAAGTCCCAAGGGAAGTCCCTTCATAACTGCTAGGAGCCCCACTCATTTGATAAGAGAAGATTCAAACCTCTTAGTGCCCAACACGCTAAGGCCAATTGAAATCCTATAGCTTTGAGTTGCAGTACAACATTGGTTGGTGACCTAGCCCTTCCATGAGTCACTACATAATACATGAAGAGGAAATTACAATGTACCAGGCTGAGCCTCAGTACTGAGAAAGCGAGGTGAATCACTGAGCATATTCCTTTCGCCAAAGCTAAGAGATTGAAACACACTTAGGGTATAGGAAATCCCCTCTCTGACCCTAATTAACAAGTCAAGAAGGGCCAAGGCCTCTTCCCCTTTCTTTCAGCTCTTCTCCGCCCTTTACTGAATTTTTTTCCATTATGCTTTCTCATTGATGATTTCCTCTGCTTAGAGAATAGCAAAACGAAGAGGGAGGGATCCTCCAAAGTGTGACTAAGTGTGACTTGGCTTTGACAGTTATTCTCTAGACTGGCATTCTGCAGACCCAGGACCTACCACCCCAGCAGGTCCTACACTGAATACTCGTGTGTGTGTGTGTATGTGTGTGTGTGTGTGTAAAATTTTTGAGACAGACTCTCTCTGTAACCTAGGTTGGCCTACCATCCAGTATGTAGATCAGGTTGTCCTCAAACACCCAGTGATCCTCCTGTCTCAGTCTCTAAGTGCTGAGCCACCATGCACAGCAGACATTTGCTATAACTATATGAATGAAAATCCAAAGTGCCTCCTTCCCCAGATGCATTCTTCAAAAAACTGTTTCAATCGAATCTTTAAGTTGTATGTGTTGTTGTATGAAGATGTGCCCATGTGTGGGTAGATGAGCCCTGGTGCACATTTTGAGTCAAAGGAGAACTTTGTGAGATGAGTTCTCTCCTTCCACCTTTATGTTGAATTTCAAGGATCACTGAGCATCTCCCCAACCCTGAAAAACTATTTAGAAGGAGAATTTTTGTGCCCATGCTTTGCAGCAACGTAGAAACCTAGATTTACACCAAACACGTTGGCCTATACCTATAACACAAACACTTAAAGCAGGAGAATCAATGTGAACTGGAGGTTACATTTAGACTACAGTTTGAGACCTCGGCTCAAGCAACAACAAGAGCAAACAAACAAACAAAAAATTAGATTTTCATTGTATTTTTTTCAATTTCAGTGACTTAACTCAAATGAGCCAAGACTGGTGACCCGTGCCTATAATCTTACCACAGAGGAGTGCTGAGCAAGAATATTGACAAGTTTTCAAAGATGGCTTGGGCTGTGTAGTGAGTTGGAGGCCAGCCTGAACTATATAGAGAGATTTTGTCTCAAAAACAAAACAACAAAAGACTACTATAGCTCAGTAAAGGGTTTGCCTAGCATGGGTGAAGCCCTGGTTTCAATTGCCAGCTCTGCAAACACTGTGATGACATGCGCTTACAACCTCAGTAGAGGCAAGAGGTTCAAGATCATGCTTGGTTATACGCCCAGCATGACCCTAACTAACCTAGGATACAGGAGCCCCTGTCTCAAGTAAGTAAATAAATAGTGATCTGAATGCAAGGTACAGGCCTGTAGCCCCGACACTCAGGAGGTGTAAGCAGGAGAATCAGAAGTACATGGGATTCTGTACCAAGAAGCAGTGTGGGGAGAAGGAAGAAGAGAAAAAGAAGGAAGAGGAGAAAGAGGAGGAGAAGAAGGCAGAAGAGGAGGAGGAGGAGGAAGAAGAAGAGGAGGAGAAGAGTAACAACAAAAACCCAGGTAGACATGGAGGTATATGTTGTCACCCCAATGCTTGGGAGACAAGCAGGAGTTCAAGACCACACTGAGCTACATGGAACTGTGCTTCAGAACAACAAAATCAAAAGCAGCTGGATGTGATAGTGTCTGCCTCTAACCCCTACACTTGAGAGGCAAGGCAAGCAGATCTCTGTGAGTTCTGGGCCAGACTACATATTGAGACCTTGTCTCAAAAAAAAAAAAAAAAAATTGCCAGGCAGTGGTGGTGCACGCCTTTAATCCCAGCACTTGGGAGGCAGAGGCAGGCAGATTTCTGAGTTCGAGGCCAGCCTGGTCTACAGAGTGAGTTCCAGGACAGCCAGGGCTACACAGAGAAACTCTGTCTCGAAAAAAACCAATAATAATAATAATAATTTTTTTGATCACTATATACTTTATAAATTAAATGTGACTTCTGATTCTCATGGTATTTCCCTGGGTGTTCATTAATGTCTCAATTCCGTTCTCCTTTATCTGTAATTCATATAATGATATATTTTAGACACAATCCACTGTCAGTACTTCTTCATAAAATAGCGAAGACAAGCCAGAATGGCAAAAATTAAATAATTTAAACATCTAGAATTTGGAAATTGCTTCTTGTAAAAAAAAAAAAAAATCTCAATAGGTTCACGGAACAAAATGCACAGATGTGGCAGTGTATATAGTTCTTTTATGTTACGTCCCAATCGAATACCATATTCCCTAGTCATTTGATAATTTCACCACAGCCCAGATTCAACTCCAAGTTGGACAGATTACATAACAGAGCGGCAGTTTTTATTCCAGCAGTGCGTTCTTTAACCCCTCCTGAACCTGCTAAGGCACTTTTATGAGCAGTGTAGCCGGATCTCCTGTAAATGAAAGAGGTTCAAATATCAGCCATTGAAAAGAAATTAAATAAACGTGTACAGAACAGAAGAAGGTGTTGTCACAAGACCTACAGAACCGTTGCCCTTGTAATACAATTAAGGCTGTGAAAATGATTTTAGTCACACATGTATTGTAAGGAACCTGGCTAAACAAACACAAAACCTGAAAGGAAATTTTCCAGAGCAATTTAAGTAATTGGTCAAAGAA